TTTTCATGTTCTGTTGTTGGGTATGAAGTGTCTGATTTTCCATCCCTTTTTCATTGTGAGATCTAGAGGATGCATGGCCATGCTTATGCTTTGGCTTCAACTTCTTATACCTCACCATCCAACCAAACACATTCCTTTATTTTGGGCTTAAACAAAAGTGGTTCCGCTTTTTAGTTTAAAGAATTAAGAACACGGCCGAAGGTACTTTGTATTTATGAAACATCCATTCTATAATATCATTATGTACTTCACAGAAATTAAAAGAGAATTGCCACAAGATATAACAATCTAGCTACGCCCAGATCAGGGGATGCCCCCTATCAATGTGGCTTCTCTGAACCCTAGATCACGCTGTTCGTGATGGGTGATTAGTACAACGACTTCGACAAATTGTGATCTTCTGCATGTTTGTGCTCAATATATCGGCTTCGTTCTTCTTTGGTGCTCGGGCGACGTAACGATAATTGGGGAAGCGACAACGAATTAGGGGATGTGTATACAAATTTCTGTGGACTTGGTTGCGTTTTCACCTTTTGTCAAGGTATTTTCTCTGCATTTCCATTCTTAATTCATTTCTTGGTTTACAAAATCAGATGATCTACCAACTATCTATCTACCTATCTATCTATCTACTACTCTATAAAAAAAAGAGGCAGATCCAAACAATCATACCCGTTCATCTACAAGATCTAATGGTTGCTAATCCTTCGATCTTTAACCCTACAAGCCACGGAATTAAGCCAGTAAGGGCATGTACAATGGTTCTATCTTAGCAATGCCACGTAGGATAGATGATGAGGTGGAGGAGAGAGAACTCATAAGAAAAGACTTGTCCTCTCTTATTTAAGAGAAGACAAGAGGTGATCTCTTAGCACAATATGTCTCACCATATTTTTAGGAATTACTAGTTATTGAAGATAAGGCTAAGATATGACCCATTGTAGAAAATTTTTTTTGTCATCTCTAAATCACATGCAAGACTTAAGATAAGACTATCTTATCAACCATTGTACATGCCCTAATCCTCAACTCGTGACCCTGCCCACCCGTTAAAAAAAAACCGCTGCCCGCTGCGCACGCACGCACGCCCCTCGCTCGCTCGCTCCTCGCCCTTCTCCCGCCGCCCCGGTCCTCGCCCTCCGCCGCCGCCGCTCCGCTCGCCCTCCACCGCCGCCGCTCCGCTCGCACTCCACCGCCGCTCCTCCTCTCCTCCGCCGCCGCCCCGGTCCCCTGGGCCGTCGAGGACGCCGCCTGGACGGCCGTCCGTGGCCGCCTGCTCCGTCCAGCTCCTCCCCCGCCCCCGAGTACGGCCGATGTATTTTCTAGCGCACCACCGTTGATGTACAAGCAACTAATGTTATGCTGGGTGTTTTGTTTGTTAATAATAATTCGCGCATCACACCATTTCCATTTAAATCATCTGAAAGAATATGCCGTGTAGCTCAAAATCCAGTGAAGCACGGCTAAATCAGGCTAGTATCATTATCAGTACATAAACAGGCTTCCAACATTTTTCTCGCCACATTAGTGTCCATCTCAACATTCTTCGAAGCTAAATTGTGACGCCAACATCCACCCGAGTGAGCTTACTAGAGTTAGAAAATTGTGTTAGTTTAGGAACCGTAGCCACTGACAACGAGTTGAGGGTACCCGCAAAAAAGAAAAAGAAAAAAAAGAGTTGAGGTAGCCAACTGAGAAAGTCAGTGATAGCTTGGGGAGTTCTGATGCATTTTTCTCTTTCCAAAAGCTACCGTTGAGGATATTCCCCTTGCTTCTTGGTTATTATTTTCTAAGGCGATGAAAAATGTAGAAACAAATTCTTGTGCAATATACAGTTTGCATGTCAGTATAACATTTTGTAGATTTCCTTAAAATAGTTTTTTTATGACAAAGTTGCCATACATAAAGCATAAGTATGACAGTTGAATGTGGAAAATGAGAAACAAAGCTGCAAATAGCAGCTGCATATGTGACTCGGTAGGATACAATGCTCGACACTCAACAGCTATTAGTCATTTTCACTTGCTTACCTTAAATTGTAAAATGGTTCTGCCGGTCTGCCCAGAGCTTCCAAACATTATATGCTTATCCTGATAGATAACTTGTCCCAAACATACAGAGGCTTCCCTGAACATTATATGCTTATCCTGATAGATAACTTGTCCCAAACATACTTTGCTACTTCTAGTTAATTAATCTGATCTGTGGTGGATGGTTATCACTCCCTCCGTTCTCAAATGTAAGTTTTTCTAGATATTTCAATAAGTGACTACATACGAAGCAAAAAGAATGAATCTATACTCTAAAATATGTCTTCATACATCCGTATGTTGTAATCCACTTGAAATGGTTAAAAAAACTTATATTTAGAAACGGAGGGAGTACCTCACAAGTGAGATCACAACCATTCATTCTAGTGCGCCATAATTATTTGTTCTTTGGTTCACAGATGCCACTAAGGCCCAGTTCTTTTCACTCGATTCTGAACAATCTGGGTCTGAAAAAAATCAAAAGCTCAAAAGAACTGGATCTGATTTTATCCAAAATCATGTGAGAATCGCCAGAATGAGTAGTGCAATCGAAAATCGTGTCGAGACCTCTTCTGGCGATTCTGGACGCTCCCACGAAACAAAACGTTTTGACTTAAGGTAGTAGTACCCCTATTTGAGAGGCAAATTACCAGAGAACTGCCACTCTCCTTCGCTCGATCCCCCACCTCCCCACTCGCGCTCGCGATAGGGTTACAGGGCCGCCGCCGCCGCGCCGCCCGACAGCCCGCCCCTCCCGCTCGCTTCGAGGCCCGCAGCCGTTGCTCCGCCCCGGCCACTCCTTCGGCCCGCCTGCTCGCCTCGAGGCCCTCAGCCGCTGCCCCGCCCCGACGCCGCCTCGCCGGAGTTTGCTCGGGCCGTCGCCTAGGCTGAGCTCTCATCTCCTCTCCGTCTTCTCTGTTCTGTTCTGTTCTGGGTGCAGCTCTATTCCTTCTTGTTCGTCTCTGTTCCTAGTTCTTCTCTGTACATGGAAAAATGGATGGATGTTTGTTTGTTTGTTTGGTAGGAGTAGATGATTTGCTTGATTGCTGAATGGATGTATGCTCGTTTTCATGCTCATATTCGACATAAATTGTCCAAAGCAACTAGAGTAAGTCTTAGCAATTCAACACACAGTTTTAGTTCAGGGACATTACAGAAATTTTAGCACACAACTCATCCCATAATCTCAGACCACAATCTTAGAAAAAGAACTCGGCAGCTGATTCTGGGTGATTCTGCAGGAAGCTGATTTTGGGGCAAGTTTCTCAAAAGCTGATTTTGGAGAATCAAAAAGCTGAAAAGAATTGGGCCCTTTTTTCCTCAGATACACTAAGACAAAATTAGAGCTCTACTCAGAACTTGAGGCTCGAGCAGCTCATGAACTCCCAGTATGTTGTATAACATTGGTTGACATACGCTTGAGTATGTACTCATATGGGTCCATGGTGGACTAGAGGTTTGGCGGGCATGATCTTTAAAGAATGATCTATCATGGATTCTAGTAGAAAGTATAAGTTATTCTACAAACATTATAGGATATACTGGTCTGAGGGAAAAATAGAAATAAAAATTCACAATGCATTTGTTAGTCTGTGAATTTCTAATTAGATTATTCCTGGGACAATAGTAATTCTATTTGTGATCATATTTCGTCTGAAGAGCTGCTACTATCGGCTACCATTTCTCTTCAGTACTATAAGAAATATCTGAACTGAACTTCGTTATATATAATTGCAAAAATCTTTGTGAACCAGCGAAAGGCATTGGGACCAGCAAACCCTATTTTCTTCAGGAACCGGTTCAAGAAAACATTGTAGCTTGAATCAGCAAAAGACAAGAGTAAAACGTTGCCAAGCTTACTTGATAGTTTAGTCTTGTCATAGTAACTTAATCCTAATAGTTATGATCTGTTTTATTTGTAGAACTTGGGTGGTATTATTTTGTACATTAAGTACATAAGTAACATTTTATTTCTTCAGGTTCTTATACAGCTACTTTGTTACAGTTAATACAGATAATATTATCTTGTACCATGGCTAGTGCGGAGGATGTGAAGCAGCGGCAGGTTGTTGAAGACCGTGCAAGAAATATTAGCCACAATGTACGGTGCACTGAGTGTGGCAGCCAGTCCATTGAAGATTCGCAAGCAGATGTTGCAGTTCTCCTTAGAAGGGTACTTTTCGTTCTATAACCTTGTGATGATTGGTTGCCTGACCTTGTTGTTTCAGTTAGTGGTCAAACTTTTAGTAGCAGAGATTGGCTTATTCCTGTATACCTTTTCATGTTTCCACAACATCCAAATTTTGCTTTGTTGCTCTCTTGATCTTAACAAGACCTAACTAAGATTGGAAATTTGATAACACTTTTAACTGAGGTAACACTTGTACTTGAGACCTTGTACTGATCAATACAACAACAACAAAGCCTTTCAGTCCCAAACAAGTTGGGGTAGGCTCTAGGACTGATCAATAATGACATAAAATAAAATGTGTTCACCGGCACCCAATAGTTAAATGCAAAATAGGGTTGAGAAACTTGAAATGATATTTGCTACTATCAATTTTTTTTTTTGAAGAATCTATATGTCCTGTTTGGATTTGGAATGATAGAGATGGTTTTGGTAATGCCGCAACTGGTTTGGTTCTTCGATTATATACATTTGCGTCCTTTTTACTTGACTAGGTTTCTTAGACTTGGATGATATTTCTGCCTATTCAGCTATATTAAATTTACATTACCTTTCACTGTACCAGAACACTGTTGTCTGATTCACAAGCATTTATCTGCACCATGTACTACATATACACGAGAAAAAAATTAATCTTGAGTTCTCAACGTCAATAAAGGCACTTGGTTTATATGCTTTAAAGGATTGAAATATTATTGCCTTACACCCAATATGTCATGGGAAGCTTCACGGCCGGACGAACTGACATATGTGTCATTTTTGCAGTTAATTCGTGATGAAATAAAATCTGGAAAGAGTGATAAGGAGATATACAAAAAACTAGAAGAAGACTTTGGAGAAACAGTTCTATATGCCCCTAAATTTGATCTTCAAACTGCTGCCATATGGTTATCACCGGTGAGCCTTAATTATGATTCTTTTTCCATGCTGTTCAATTGTCCGTGCTTTTATTATACTAGAAATATTATCACTTGCACTTTTTTAGCCTATTATTTGTTCGTTTTATGAATGCATTGTGTGTCTTGGTGAACCCAAGCATATTCCATCATCACAAACTTTTGCATCAAGATGTTTTTCGTAAGTACGTGGATGATTCTCTTTCATAGTTACTTGGTGAATTTGCAACCAGTGGAAGTAAAATATTTCAATTCTTAAAAAATCTAATTCCAGCTGATCCCTTGTTGTAGTTCAATGTAGTCTGTAGAGAGATAAATTGATACTGATTTGACCTGCTTTCATTTGTGCTTAGTAAAATTATGTTGTTGCAGCGGAACATGGTAAAATGAAGGCTTCAAAATATCGAAGTATCTACCCCCCTGAATTAGTATCATTTTATCCTGTGCAGGTGATTGTGATTTCTCGGGTAGGCAGTCGAGAGCCTGATACATTAAATCCTGTGCAGGTGATTGTGGGCGGCGTAGCAGCTGGTGTGTGGGCTTACCAAAAGCACAGGCAAAGGACCAACGTTCACATCATGGCTCTGAACCTCGTCCGAGGGGTTCCCCTGACTCCAAGGGAGAAGGAGACGATGATCGACATCCTCACGCCGCCCCTGCCGGCAAGGAGGTGGTGGTGGCCTATCAAATGATGTTCTTTCATGTCCTTAGACGCGACATTGAGTGGGTACCAATTTCCTGAGGTACAAATGTTCAGGATGGCTGGAATTTTAGCACGTGATTTCGTTGCACATCTCGCGCCCTGCTTGGAGCTTGGGCTACAGATTTTTTTTCTGGGTTTTATAACCGGATGCTTGCGATACCTTGGTGGTTTGTGAAGCATGAACCTAGCTAGCAGCACATGTTGCCTTCCTCCGTATGCTGGCTGTGAAGCTGAAAAACAGCCTCCTGTTAAGTGTAGTTTCTTCCCTAAACATGTGGTGTCACTGCTGACCCTCTGTGCTAGCAGTCTAGCACACAAGTAGAGCATTTTGTTCTCAGAATAAGCTGCAAATTTTAATTGAATTTTCGTAGGCTCTTTGATCGATGTCATGTTTGTTTCATCTAACCTGCGACCTTGATCCCCCAGCTTGGCGTACTAGATGGTACTGGCATGCAATTCTCCATAAACAAACAAGTTGGTGCTGGCATGCATACATAGCAGCGGCACAGATGATTACTGGAGGTTTTCTCTCTTAACTAAAGTTCATCGGAGGTTGTAAAAAAAAATCGGAGTTGAGGTCTTTCAAAAATAAATGAATGTTAAATTAGCTCAAATTCATGTGTTTCTTCTTGATCTTCTAGCTACGGGGCCGCCGGTATTTTCACCCAACGACTGAACGGAGCACTGTTGTGAGGATAAGATAGCTGGAGTTCTGTGGATGGATTAACCCGGCCCGAAATATATACTTCCTCCGTTCCGAATTACTTGTCGCACGTATGGATGATAACCAGGTACAAGCTCTCGTCCTCGTAGAGAGATCAGAAACCACACACATGTATACAGTGCACACATTTGAACAAGTGCCACCAGCAACAGCAATGTTATACCTGCAAAAAAAAGCAACAGCAATGTTACACAGACAGTCACTGCCAAGAGGCGACACGCGTCAACACACTCTTTCACATGGCAGCCCAGTGGCAAGGTCACAGTGGTGTTTCCTTGTAGACCGGAGTTTAAATCCCGTCGGTAGCGAATTTTTACGATCTCATCGGGGTGGGCTTCTTCTATAAAAATATGTCCTGGATGCTAGTGTCTAAGGATCTCATTTTTTTAACACACTCTTTCACACACCGACAGGTATACGGCTTGGTGGATGTACATTGTACCTCCAGGCTACAGCCATTTATACCCCATCAATCGATCCCAGGAGGACAGATGCTGGGAGGTTTTTATTATATTTAAGATGCTTTGTACTTCGAATGAAATTTTAATCTGATCTTTCTCGGGGTGGAAAAAAACATACCGCTAACATGACACGATTGAGCGAAGCACTGTTGTGAGCGATAAGATAGCTGGAGTTCTGTCGGTGGGTTAATTAACCCCGAAGTAGATTGTTTACAGAAACCACATACACATGTACTAAAGTGCACACATTTGAAGTAGTGGCAATGTTACACACGGACACAGTCACTGCCAAGAGGGGACATGCGTGGCAGCACACACTTTCACACACCGACAGATACGTAGTACGTACGACAAGATGAGCACATGTATATACGGCTCAGTACATGTATACTATACCTCCGGGCTCTTGCCATTTGCACCGCATGCATCATCAACCCACCCCGGGGCCGGGACACGAGGAGGACAGATGTTGGGAGGGTGGGTGGATCTAGCAGTCGGGCGGCGTGGTGAGGCCGCACTTGGCCGGCAGCTCCATGGCGCGCTTGGGGTCGATGTTGTAGAGGCTGAGCCAGGGCGAGTTCTTGTAGGAGCAGAGGCAGCGCAGGTCCGCCTTCCCCAGCGTCGCGCAGCACGCCTCCGACGGCGCCGGCTGCGGGTCCGTCGTCGCCGCCGCCGCCGGCTGGCACGCCATGAAGTCGTCGTTGTCCATGTCGCACACCGCCTGCGCCGTCGCCGCGAGGGCGACGACGAGGAGGACCGTCAGCGCCAGCGCCTTCCTGCTGCCGGCCATGTCGCGCAAGTAGCACACCGAGCGCTGCTGCATGCTCCTTAGCTGATTGGGAGGTTGCTCGATCGGTCGGTGCTACTGGAATGATTGTTGCGGTGGCCTGTGATGGCCTCCGGCGGGGTGTTTTATACCGTGGGGTGATGGGAGGTTTTGGCTGCCGGGTGTTGCAAGTTTGCGGTTTTGACAACGGGGTCCTCGGCGAATATATAACATCTTTTGGTTTACAAAACTAAGTAAAGTACTCCCTCTGTTCCGAATAACTTGTCGTAGAAATGGGTGTATTCAGAACTGAAAATATGCCTAGATGCACTCATTCATGCAAGCAATTCCGGACGAAGAGATACTAAACATGACGATGGCTAACCTAATTTGGCCGTAAGCACGATGGAATTAAGTTGCATCGTCTTGTTGCCTTGGCAAAGCCAAAGATAACCATAATGATGACGCGTTCGATCGGTGAGCGCGCGTGCCGTGTCGGCGTGCGCACCCAATCCAGCGGTAGTGCTGTGCGAGACGCGGGTGCTAGGTGCAAAACGTCTGGATGTTTTTATCTATCTCGTGGAGAATCACTCACTAACTTGGCCCGTGAAGGTGTGTTGTTGGCTTGCCCCCCTGTCCCGTCACGCACGCGCGCCCATGTCAGCGCTGCCGCTCCCACTTGGGTCGGGATCGGGTTCACGGGGGATGGAATGGGCGGGTGCGACGCCGTGGCCGGCAGGCGGCAGGCCCACCCCGGCCGGCGCTCGTGGCTCACAGCCTTTCCCGGCCGGGTTTGCTGACGCGCGGCCACCGGGTTTTGTATCAGCCGCCGTTCGAGCAGCAGCAGTTTGGTTTTGGTGCTAGACTGCGCTTCTTTCTGCGTGCTCGGTGCTCAGTCACAAGAGCTTGTCCTCATAGTCATAGGTACCTCTGCCACTGCATGCCAGTGACCGACGGCAACGACACCACAGCCTTTGGGTCTGGACGGGCTTTAGTTTTACCAGTTTCTGAGCTGGATCAGCATTAAGAGTCCGTTTGGTAGCTTCACCGACCGATTCCACAGACCACAGCTTCAGCGCCGCGGCCTGAAGATCAAAAGCACTCGTCTCCTCCTCTGACGCGGCGTGGGGTGGCAGCCCAGCAAACAGTCCTGCCCCAGCTTGGGTGTCTGGCAGGCCTGGTAGTGGAGACCAAGGGTTGGGCTGCAGCGCATGATAGGCTGTTGCTTATTCTTTTGGTATGATTTTACGGCGCATCATCGCCCCTATCTCCTTGGAGCAGGGCAAACATTGTTATAGTAGACAATCGGGAAGTCGTCGTGTTAAGACCCTATAAAACCCTAACGCACCAGAACATCAACCGTCGCGGATGAAGAGTGTAGAACAAAAGGATCCATCAAAGACTGATCCGCCGCAGATGAAGAGCGCAGGGCAAACATTGCGCGGATGAAGAGTGTAGAAAAGGCAGAGAACCCTAGCTTTTTGGAAGGCGGCGGCTGGCTAGATCGACGAGAGTTTCTTCGTCTATTTAGAGCCAGCTAGTTTAGTTGATTGCAAGTTTATTTTTAAAGGCTGCGCATCAAATATTGATGCAGTTGCAGATAGGTTTGCTAAGTTTTCAAACACTCTTGATCAGGGGCGACACCTTTGGCAGATCCATCCCATGATCCTTTTTGTATACCACTTTAAGTGGTCTGTGATCAATAAAGCTTTGCTATACCCCTAAAAACGGCATACATTATATGTAGTTTTTTTACAGATATTTTTTTCTCCAAAATTTAACAAGTTGAGATATTGAAGTTTGGCACGCGTCAGACAACAGAAGCTTCATTTCAATATATCTCTAAATAAAAACGGGCACAATTCTTTAAGACCATGAACATAACTTCAGTAAATAAGAACCGTGGCGCTAGATAGTTCATTTCCTTAACCTATCTATGTCAGGGCATCTTCGGCACCAAAGTTTTGAAGCATCTGATGATGCAGGGGGGATACTCTACTGCTTTATATGTTCCCGGAATTGTTAGTCGTGCTTGTAATCAAGCTTAGTTTTCGTCTTGAATAGAGTTCCCACCCCCTCATATGTACATAGGATTGATGAAAATGTACATGCTTATTTTTAAACATTCACGGGTTTGAGAAAATATTAATATTAAAATAAAAAATACATTTGTATTTTATGATATTTTTTTAAAAACCAACTGAAAATCGTAAAATTAGAGACTTCGAGAAAAAAACAATTGACAACTGCAGGGAGCCGATGAAAGACAAATGGGCCGGCCCATATTGTGAGCGCTTGGACAACGATCCATAGGACTTGTCATAGAAATTTGGCTGCATCCGAGCTGCCGGCGATGTATGACGGCGAAGAAACGGCCGCGCTGTGCATCCCGATTCATTGAACACATGGAGCTTTCCTAGCCTTTTGGTCCATCTACCTCTAGAGAGAAGTGTCGATCACGATGACCATGGCTGAGGGTGCTAAGCAGGTCCACGTAGACGCGCTACTGTACAATGCTTAACAGGTCCACGTAGACGCTCTGCTGTACACTGCTCAACGGGGCCACGTAGACGCGCCTATGAATAAATACGGCTACAGCCCTGCTGCCCACAGATGACAGACCCCCCCCCCCTCTCTCTCTCTCTCTCTCTAACACAATACACACCGGAGATGAGGTGAGATAGAGAGGTTAGTTCAGGGAAAGAGGAAGAGGAAGATAGAGAGGGAGAGAATGAGGAGGGCGTGCAGTGCGAAGGAAGGGGTGAAGAGAGGGGCATGGACGAGCAAGGAGGACGAAACCTTGGCCTCCTACATCAAGGCGCATGGCGAAGGCAGATGGAAGGAAGTCCCCTTGAAAGCTGGTACGTTCTGCTACTAAACGATCGTAACCCCTAGCTTGGTAAACAGTAGTACCATTCCGTTCTAGACAATGGAGTGCTAGCTAGTTGAACGTGAGTGAGTGACGCGCCTCAAATTAATTTGCAGGCCTGCGGCGGTGCGGCAAGAGCTGCCGGCTGCGGTGGCTCAACTACCTCCGG